TATATATACAGTATAATTTTTCTTATTTGATGTTATAAAGCATACCATAGAGGGTTAAATAGTGCTGGAACTATTTCCATTTTGGTGTTAAAGCTCTAAATGTGTTACATTTTCTGCTCGATCATCTGTTTTTATATGACAAATTTTTATTACCACATAAACGATGAATGTAATGTTCATGAGCGAGTCTATCTTTAGCTGTTAATTATACTTAGTTTGATTCAGCCGCCTCTTGTGATGCAGCTGCAGTGCTGCAGCAGGAAGCAGAGCGCAGCGTGTGGCCAACTTTCACCATGAATTAGTCTGCTGCACCCGAGTGTTTCCTGTCGCTGCRGAGCAGCAGGAGATGTAGTGCAGTGCTGCTCCTGCTCCTCGCTGGTGCAGTCTCTGGTGCAGCTTAACATCATTACTGCCCTCCTGTCGCCACAGCAACCGGCCTGGTCACATCCTCTTTTTTTCTTTAGGCCTTTTTGCGCCCTGTGTGTGTTTGAATGGTTGGGTTCCTGACACAGTCTTGTAGAACACAGAGTCAATCATGGCTCCTCCACATGTCGATAACGGCACGGCATGGCCTCCGAGTCAATAAATAACCGTGACGTTCATTACTTTACATCCTTTCAGACAATCCTTTTTATTAACACTCCTCCTCGTCACCTTTTGTCCCCCTTYGTCTGGTCCCGCTTTGCTTTCAGCGCCGTGGGCCGTACGCCACCGTCGGCACTGACTGAAGGTTTAATAATGCTAAAAGKTTCACCGCCCCCATGCACCTCGCTCTGTTCTCCCTCAGTAACCTTCCTCATTACTGAAATTATCAGGTCCCAACTAATAACTCACCTGTCTGCTGGATGAGTCAGTCTGAGAAACAGGTGGGTGTCAGAGCACCTCCTAAAGGGAAAATGATATTTACACACAAAAAGAGCAACTAATGAGCAAAACCACAATGGGAGGCTCTGATGCTTTTCTGGAAATTCACTTTACTCGGGAGTCTTTTATGATGAAAAGGAACAGGTTAAATATGTATAATTCATCAAGAGAAACCAAGAGAGTGTGTTGGTGTATCTCTAAGAGGCATATCGTTTCTCTGTGTTTAATAATAAATGTTAAAGCAGGTTTGGAGTCTGTGCAAATGAAAGCGATGCATTGTGCTCGGCACTGGTGGGTTTACAGGCAGCAGCATGAGAGGATGCAGTAACAATCCATGAAACAATAATATCACTCCGTCCTGTGCACCGCAAAGGAAAGAACTATTTTTATTCTATAACTGGACCCTTTCTTCATCGATATATCTGCTTCACAACATTAAGAAGTCAAACTGTATTAATTTATAACCTATTTTTATTCAAAAATGTCTTTAATCAAAATAACATCCTATAAATCTGATGAAACATTTTAACCTTTTGTGACAGACTTATGTGAGTCATTTATCATTTAGAAAATCAACAGGATTCTGCAGAAAATGAAGAGGTAATTCAGTCACAGATTCAGGTGTGTTGGAGCAGAGAAATAAGTAGAACAAACAGGATAGCGAGCCTCGAGAATCACTTTTCTAAACCAAACATTTAATCTTCCCCAAATTTATAAAACCTAACTTGGTGTAAAAACAGTAAAAGACATCAAAATGCCAGTTCTCTTCCACAAAGTTCAACTTTCCACGAGTCGTTAAACTTTGAATGATGTTTCTACTCTGTCTGAGCTGTGCAGCTCCAAAAACGACTGAATTTTCCCACTTATTTCACCAAAATCCCATTATTGTGCGAGTGGAAATGAGTTGGAGGTTTTGGCAGGTTTTATTTACATCGTACGACTACCAAACGTCATAACACAGCAATCAGTTTGAGCTGTACATTTTGAATTATTTTTCTTTTCTAAAGCTGACAGGAGTAATAAATTGAATATTTTTTAATAAAAGAAGCTTAACGTGAGTGTATTAGAATCATTTTTAACATTGTGTTTTTTAATAAAGATTTGCTTTAATTGCATCAAAATTATGTTTTTGTGTAATTTACTATTTTAGTCGCAGCGTTTTCCAGCTCTGACCTTTCCTGCCAATGTTAAAAAAGGCAACAACGAAGTGTAATTATGTTCTTATTGTAAAACACATCACAGCCAAAAATCACTGCATAATCATTTATTCACATAGTTCTCTTCACATAATATTTTTATTATAGTCTTTTATTGCTGCAGTTGAGGCGCCTCTCCGATTTTCACTTGAAGTTTTCCCATATTGTCCGAGTCTCTATATTTTCATCTTCATGCATGCTGAGTAATACATTTTACAGGAACAGGATGCAAATAAATAAAACTGTCTTTTTTTTCAAGTTACATGTCATACTCTATCCGTTCTATCGATGCATCTGCAACATGCCTAGTTCAAAGTCCAAAGAGGGTAAAACGCTTTGCATTACAGGGAGTGAAGGCATAACAAAGAGCACGTTATCGATACATATTGTTAAAGCTGGCAATCTATGATTACTCTTAAGAACTGTTCAAATCTCTGTTCACATAAAGCTGTGAGGGGGGAAGGCTGAGTGTCATCTATGTACAGTAACTTTGAAATATGGCACCAAATGTGCTTGTGGAAAAAAAGGAAAATGATGTTACACGTTAAAATGTTAGTGACTACATTACTCTTCCTGTTTAACCCAAAAAGGCCTGTGGGTAATCCTGTTCTTAAAGTGTTGACAGCAGCCACATTTTACACGCTGTAGTAGAGACAGAGTTCTCAACTTTTCTCTGACTTTTGAAGGTAAGCAGCATGCCTCATAGGCACCGGGAGCCGAGGCGGAGCACCAATACCGAGCTGGAGATAAACTTTTACACATCGTCGTCTCCAAGCTGGCATCTAATGCAACAAAGTGCACAGGGAATACTGACGACTTTTTAAGAAAATTCCTGCAACTACAACAAAACACGTGTTCCAGTTAATGCCAATCCTTTTCCATGGTTGTAATTTTTGCATTTGCTTCTTTTTTTTTTTAAAAAAAGGTGCTTCTTAATCCACAGAGACTTTTCTCAAACAATGAGAAATAACATCTTTCTTTAAATACTTTAACTTATCGTTCTGTTTTCTGACTTACGTCAGATATAAACTCTTTTTTCAACACACATGCGTATGCATGCACACGCTTTAAGCTCTATCTTTTTCCTGACCTACAGCAAAGGCAAATAATGAGGAACTTCAGGATATTCTGTCTCAAACTATTCATATTATTTATATTTGCTCAGTTTTATCTATTCGGTTCTCTGAAGGCACCTAGTGTTGCCTAGGCAGAGCTGAAATGTCACTATAATAAGTTTAAGCTGTAACATCAACAGTTGTCGCTTCATTATGAAGGTAACTCTTTTCTCTTCAAGTGTTGAAAACTCTACTTGTGAAATACTCGTGAGTCTGTGCTCCTGGGTAAGAATACAGTGGCCAGTTCTGTGCACTAGTGAGCAGGCCGGGGAAACGCTCTGGTCCAAAAGTTCAAAGGTCCTCGAGCTCCCAGGCGGAGAAGCCTCTGTCAGACATATGCTGACTCACTGGACTGGGTCCTGCCCAGGTTCGGGGCCTGGGACAGGTGCGAGACATCCTTCTTACGCACTTCACAGATGGACTTCCTCCGAGCCTGCACGCCTCGCATGGCCGTCTTTATCTTCCTCCATCCCAGGTGGTTGAGCTCGGCCAGGTTGAGCAGCACACAAATGCCGCTCACGGCAAACATGAAGACCAGGAAGACAGTTTTTTCTGTCGGACGGGACACGTAACACTCCACCTCCTTCACGCAGGGGTAGCGGTCGCACTCGAACATCCCTGGCACGTTGAAGCCGTACAGGAAGTACTGGCCGGCCAAGAAGCCGATCTCCAGCGCGTTGCGGAACACCACCTGGATGACGTAGAAACGGGAAATGCCTTCTTGCCGTTTCACTTTCGAACTTTTGTGTGTCGAAGTGACACCCCGAGGTCCGTTGGGGATCTCCTTGACCTCCATGTCGTGATCCTCCTTACTGCTTTCGGGATGCACCAGGATGCCGTTGACGTTGCGGGAGTGAAGCTTGCGGGCATGGTGGTCGTGATGGCGGCCGTGGTGTCCGTGGCCGTGGTGATCCATGTGAGAGTGCAGCAGAGAATAGCTTCGGTCTCGTGCTTTAGCCGACTGGTGGACAGAGTACGTGATGAAGCACAGGCTGGGTGTGCAAACCAGGATGATCTGGAAAACCCAGTAGCGGATGTGCGAGATCGGGAAGGCCTTGTCGTAACAGGCCTGGTTGCAGCCGGGCTGCATGGTGTTACAGATGAACATGATCTGCTCGTCTTCGTACACCTTCTCGCCCACTATCCCAACTATTAGAATGCGRAAGATCACCACCACTGTCAGCAGGATCCTGCAGAGAGACAAACAGAGAAGAAACAAGGGGAAGTGGGTAGGACAGGGAGGAAGACATCAGTTAATGAGGAGCAAATGTACAGATGTGCCAGAAATCTGTGGGTGTGACTTGGATCATTTAGCCTGTTTGCAAGTGCTGGTTCACTTTAAACAGAACAGCAAGTGCTGTTTTAACATATTTTTATTGTTTTTTTTCCTGACCTAAAGAAAAAAAACWGAGTCATTTTACACTCTAAATAATTTCACATCACTGGAAAGAATCTATAGGCTGAGTTTGTATGTGCTTGAGAAGATGAATGTGTTTATATGCATTATCACCCAATTTCAGTGATGAAGAATACAGGAGTACAATCTGCTGCTTAAATACTGATGTTCTGATTCTGGATTTTATGTTTGTAATTTTTTTATTCTTCTTAAATAACCACTTTTGTAAGGGGTGCCAAGTGTCAATCAAAAACACATTTTCAATATTTAGCTCAAACTCGGAGTCTAAAATCCTAGTTAAACGTTGTGCACTTACATTTTATGTGTATACATTTTGCCAATGTTTACTAAATGCTAAAAATTATATGTACATATTGAATCTTAAATTTAAACGTGTAAATCTAATCTTAAATGTTGTGGCTAAATGTTAAAGTCTTTCAGAAAGGAACTCGTCCTTTGCTGTTGGTGCTTGGTTCTTGTTAGGACGCCATCATCCTGAGACAATAGCTAACGCAGGGGTGTCAAACTCCTGTCCTCGAGGGCCGCTATCCTGCATGTTTTAGAGGTTTTCTTGCTCCAACACACCTGATTTTGATCGCTGGGTRATTAACAGGCTTCTGCCCAATTTGAAGAGTTAATTCAATCACTGAATCAGGTGTGTAGGAGCTGGAAAACCTCTAAAACATGCAGGATAGCGGCCCTCGAGGACTGGAGTTTGACACCCCTGAGCTAACGCTAACGCTGCTTATGCTTACCGGACCAAAGATACCATCCATATTGCTTTAAATTAACACATTTTGAATTTAAATTTTAAATACCATCTTCAGCAGGTTTGTTCGTCATAGCATGTCTGTATCTGCATTCAGACATTTTTGATTCAAAAACACTATTTAAAACCGTAACGTTACAATTGATGGTTATCTTGTTTTTAGCTTTCTTGTTATAACGAGTTTATGTCTTGTGACGGCACTACGCTACCATACATCTTTCATTGTTCCCTTTTTAATGTTTTATAATGTGGTTATTTTCCGTTTTGCACCTCCAGGCCACCGTACAAAGTGGTTTAACAAATTCAGAGCTTTTTGTATGAACATCTGTTTAAAAAGCTCTCGACTAATAAAACAAAGGGAGAAAATCTGTTCTCTCCAGGGTCATAGCATGAAACCTAATTATGATCTGAAWCCTGCTGAACTGTATCTTCTACAAGAATTCTTTAAAAACCTCTTCCCTGACCTCCCATCGAGCGTTATTAGAGCTCTGCTGCAGTTACAGAAAGTTGAGTCCGGGGAGTGGTGCAGCTGCTTCTCAGGGCCTCTGAGAGACTGATGCGCTGCACTGCTTCATTCTGGTTTCGATCCAAGCATGGGCACTGCGGAGGAGGACCGGGGGCTTTGGAGCTGCACCGTCAGCTCTTTTTAATGAGTGAGGAAAGCCTGCGCATCTCGGGGCTCCCCGATATCACTGCCACAATGCAGGGGTTGAGCGCAGAGGAGGTAATCACTTTTGAAACACTTGTTTCCTCAGCACAAGAGGGCCACTCAGTGAGGATGATGGGACAGAGATAGGTTTAGATCAGGCAAAAGGACAAAATCCTTTAAGGTGGCATAAAAYGGCAGCATGATGGCTCAGTGGTTAGCACTGCTGCCTCACAGAATAAAGGTGCTCAGTTCAATCCCCAGTTTGGACCTGGAGCTTTTCTGTGTGCAGCTTGCATGTTCTTTTTGTKCTGTGTGGGTTTTCTCCAGATGCTCCAATTTCCCCCACAGCCTTGAAAACTTGTACAATAGGTTACCTTCAGGTCCAAACCTCCCTTGCAAATGATATCTGTACCTCAGTGGGATTTTTCTGGTAAAATAATATAATAAAGACAAATAAATTGAGCCTCAGATCTAGGTTGCTGAGGATGTGCTTTTAAATGAGTGAAAGAGATTGAGTTTTAGAGCTGAATAAGAACAAGGTCGCATGAAAGTAGGTGTAGAAAAAGGCGAAAGAAAATGTCTAAATTTGTGCTTCCTTGTGTGGCGAAAAGCAGAAATGTCGTTGAACAAGGTGACGGAGGTGTCAGCTTGTTAAAGCAAAGTCAGAGGCAGGTGAAAATAAGAGCAGGAAAAAAAACACGTGCTAAGGTAAAAAAAAAGAAAAAGCCTAAACTTAAAATAGAGTGGAGTGCTGCAACAGGGCTGTTTCTCCTCCACCTGCGAACGCATGCCTGTGTGTGACAGACAGACACGAGGACGCAGAAACAAAGACACAAAGCGGCCATGTGTGTGCAGAACAGTGAATGCGTCCAGCCGTCTGTGCTCAGAGCAGCTGCGAGTGCACACGCTACACTGACTCCGGGTGCATTTGAAATACCCATCAGTGTGCAGCAGCGTCTCTGCACTTTTGGACTTCAAATTTTGCATGAAATTTACATAAAGATGTTCAGCCACTTCAGGCCTAATTAGTATCTGCTGGTTTGACAGCAGTAGGATTGAACACAGGGTTGAAGCTGATGCACCAAAAACATTGAAATGGACGTCGTGGTTTGGCTCCATGTTTGTTTGGACCGTTTCAAACCATTACAAGCTACAGGACGGCATTCATTTTACGTTTCGTTTCAAGGTCTTGTTCTTCTCTAGCCTAACCATGACAGCACAGAAAGAGCACTGACTAAATGCCACTGAGTCAGCCTCCTGTCTTTATATGTGTGTGCAGTGGCAGCAGCCCAAAGAACGGATAGCTTGTCTCGGCTAAAACATTCCTTTGTTCTGAAGAGTAGAAGGTTTCAGTGACAGATAGTTTGTATTTCACCTCAAACAGATAATCAGCAAGACAAAGAAGCGCTCGACTCTTTGCAGTCAGCTAGAAACGAGCAATATGCTTTGTTCCAAACGTGTGGCACCCTCATTACCTGCAAAAGCTTTAATCTCCCAACCTGCTGCAGGTTTTACACCTGAGTATCTGAGGATTAATTATAGGTGGCCTGAACTCCCCAGAGTTTTCCTCCTGTGCATACATTTATGTCTTTGTCTGAGGCCTTTTTTACTCTCTTCACTTCACATTATACTCATTTTTAATCGATTAACTTGGCTAATTTGTTGTTTCAGGTGCAGCTCAAAAGATTAGAGTATAGTGAAAAGGTTCAATTGTTTCTGTCAGTCATTTCAGAAAGTGAAAGTCATATCACATAGATTTGTTACATATAAAGTGAAATATTTAATGATTTTATTTCTTGTAATCTTAATGATTTGTGTCTCAGATCATTAGGTTATTACAAAGCCAGCTGTTGGTACGTTAGGCAGACTGCCGGTACTGAGTCCTGCGAGAAGTGGGTCTCTGCAGGGAGCTTCTTAGTTTTAAGGGTAGTTTGGGTAAACTATGATTCAGAGATGTGCGCAAGTCTTTTTTTTGCAAGTCCAAGTCAAGTCCAAGTCTTTGACCAAAAATACAAGTCAAGTCTCAAGTCTCTTGGCCTCATTTCCAAGTCTAGTTGCATGTATTACTTAACTGGCAGTTTGATCAAAGGTATTCTAACTATGCTAGATTATATTCTATAATAATGTATTTTAATAAAATATTCAAACAATACTGTTTTAAAAGTACAGATAAGGTTAAGGTTGAAATAACAATCAAGCATAGAGTATTGTTAACTGTATTTTGCACTTGTAGTCTTACAAAGGCATACAGTAATTACTGTAATTAAACTGTAATTATATCTTACATTGTAAAAGAAGAAATCCAACAAGTCTGCTGCTGATTTTACAATAAGATACCAGAAAAATATTTTTAAATGCATAAAAGCATGTCAGTGAAGATGATGAACTGGAATCCTTAAAGTAAAATTGCTGCCCAAGTCATTACAAAAACAAATTTTNCGGTGGAGCTGCCTGCAACACACCTGCCATGCTGAAGCTCTGTTTGTCGTGTAAGGTATGCGTCATTAACATTGGACGGCGCTGGCCCCTCCCATTCTCAGGTGACAGTGAGCGAAGCGTATGGAACAATTACCAACAGGATTTACTGTATCAATCAAACAATATACGATAACACCCTGAACCAAAATGGGTCTCCATTATTCTCTGAGGAAACAACATCCAGGTCCGTGCTGTACCAAAACACTGAGCTGAAGCACTAATTTATCTGCATATTGTGACTTATAGACTTTTATTG